GGGTAGCGGCCACGGTGGGTAGGCAGGAAGGAGATGAGGGCTCTAGAATATGCCACTATGGCACAAAAGTCATTTTGGGCAGAAGGTATTTGAGTTCCTGAAGTCTCTTATCTGCCTAAAAGCAGAGCCTCCCAAAAGTACCTGACAGAAGTCAATTGGCACAAATCCTCTCCTGGGAGCAACCAAGGAAGACTGACTCTTATCTCCGGAGATAAATCATCTCCAGGCCACACCTGAACAGACACAAAACTAGCGCGTCTCCCATCGTCTTGGCGTTTTCCTGTTAGTGCTCTTCTCCCTGTCCTGCCCTTTCTAAAGACGCTATCCTAAATTCTAAACACCCCTTAGCATGACTTTTCCGTGACNCAAAGTAAAGCTAAACACTCACTAAAGAAAACCTAGGCGTTTAAGCACTGGTGGCTAGATTTCCAGTAGAGACAAAATAAGAGTCAACAAGGGAATTGACCTGCTTAAAGAATGCAGATGTTTTCAAGTCAAACCTAAGACACGCTTTGGACACTCCACCAACCAGCAGGGGCTTGAGAACCTGCCAAGGGGGGTAGCGGCCACGGTGGGTAGGCAGGAAGGAGATGAGGGCTCTAGAATATGCCACTATGGNACTGGTTCAAATGGTTTGCAAAATGATGTTTGTATTTATACATAACTGTATCTACACACACACACACATGCACAGGGCGGGGCAGGGAAGCAAATGAAGCAAAGTGTTCATGTGTGATGAGCAGGAGTTTTCAGGAGTTCTTTGCAACATTCTTACAAATGTTATTAACCTCTGTGAGTTTGAAATTATATCAAAATAAAGTTACAAAGTAAAGCTAAACACTCACTAAAGAAAACCTAGGCGTTTAAGCACTGGTGGCTAGATTCCCAGTAGGCACAAAATAAGAGTCAACAAGGGAATTGACCTGCTTAAAGAATGCAGATGGTTTCAAGTCAAACCTAAGACACGCTTTGGACACTCCACCAACCAGCAGGGGCCTGAGAACCTGCCAAGGCGGGTAGCGGCCACGGTGGGTAGGCAGGAAGGAGATGAGGGCTCTAGAATATGCCACTATGG